TGTGCAGCGAGTGGGGCTATTGTTTGCTGCATCCGAAAATAATTCTGTTGCATGTTTTGACTTTTAGCATCCATGGGTGGGCATCTGCGTTCATTTGCTGGTGATATATAGTTTGCTTGACCTAGGTACCCTGTGTCAAGATTACCTTTGTAGTTGTACCTCATGGGTCTTTCATAGTCGAATGCATATTGGCTCACATCACATGTGTGAGTGAAGTTATTGAGAGGGTCAAGTGTCGATCTATACTCATTATGCGGCTGAGGTTCAACATAGATAGTGTGAGAGTTTGGACAAGAATATGCATTAATATGGTGCCTATATGAGCCCCGTTTAGTGCTCCTTATATCCTGATGATCCGTTCTACGTTGCATTCCCAAGTTATGTGCTTTGCTAGGCATATTACTCCTAGTTCGGGAAGGGGTGTTCTCATTCACATGATGGATGACTTTTCTGGGAATATGGTTTTTTACCCATGCATTGTCTTTTTTTAGACTGACATGTTGCTTATTAGACTTATTGAGAGGGAGGCATGTCGAAGTCTGGAGTGGGACTCTAGGCTTTGTCGTCTTTCTTGCAGTTTCTATTGCGGGACTCTCGGGCTTGCATTCAGATTGAGTGTGGTCTGCCAGTGGTCTCTGGTCAGATATAATTTGTGAGTCAATATCAACCTCATGTATGTCAGCAGGTTTTCCAGATGTGCTCTCATGTACTTTAAGATTGCACCCAGTGACACTGCTCTTCGAGTCGCTTTTACTTGCCGATTTTTTTTCCAACACTATACAGGTGACTTGCTGTGCTTCAGTGTCCGTCGACACTTTAGCACTGATACCATGTGTAGTTCTCGGTGTGGTCAACTTCCTATCGAAGGAGTTCTTGGTTGCTTCCCTTTGGTTAGTTGTTTTATCCGAGACTACTTCAATAGTCTTGAATTTAGTGGCAGTAGCCAGAAGATCTTCGGCCTTCTTAAATCGTTCAGCTATTATGTAGCTGTCGAACCTAAAGAGTATAGGACAGGGATGCTTTAGGTCTTTTTTACTTAGGCGAATGCACTGACAGGGTACGCTCAAGAGATTTGCAGCCTTCAGCAATGAGTGCTGGACCGACTTTATGGGCTCGCTATCTGGTACATTATACACTATAGCGTTTTGTTTCGAAGCCAGCCTTTTAACAACTTCGCTGGATAGAAAGTCAGTGGCGTTTTCTAACTCCTTCGCATTTTCTGAGTCAGTAGGCGTCATTCTAGAGGTCATATTAAAAAGCTTTAGGATTGTAGGATCCTGCAGTTCCTTTTTCATAAGTGAGATAGTTTCGGGTATGCATTCAAATGAACATAATTTCGTCTTTAATTCATCAATCTGTAGCTGCATCTCTTTAATAATGCGTGTTAAGTAAGAGAGCTCTACTTTTTCAGACAGAACATCTTCCACCTGTGTTACAGGGGTCAGAGTTATGTTCGAGTCTTTTATGTTGGGTGAACTACTAATAATAAGGGGTGGTAATGTGTTATTAGACGAGCTGGTGCTATTTTCTAAATTACTGGTGTTCACACGAACACTCTTTTTAGAATTTCGGCCCATCGTTATTAAAGATCAATCAACAGTAAGCAATAAATGAATATAAACGAAAACACGTGCAAAAAGCGTCACCTGGTTCGAACGTACCGGGCTATTGATATGCAAATACTGCAGTTGTTGATCATAGAAATGATGGGTAATAGATAACATCACATGATTCAACGGCATATTAGGAATAAATAAAAACTATTTCTTAGCTCATCGCCAAGTAAACAGTCTGTTTGATGATATCACTGCATATTAACAGATTAATGAAGCAGCTACCAACCATAAGTTACTACATTTACTTGTACTACAGACAAATGTTGGAACCTGTTTGCCATACTTGAGACTCCTGAGGCCAGAGAACTACACAACACCCCTAGGAACAAAGCTATTGCAGAAATCCGCCAATCAAGGGTGAAGTTCGAAACACATCTGGTTCAAAATGCAAAGGCACAACCTAAGAAAATTTTCTCGTGCATGAACTTCAGGAGTAAAATGTCCAATGGTGTCCCAAATCTGTCTATGGACAGTGACACAATCGAAGAAGATCACGAAAAAGCAGAAGAAATGGCAAACTAATTCTCCCAGGTCTTCGCAAAAGAGTCGTTACTCCCCGTAGTATCAGCCTTGACTGCATCAGAGAAATACGGGATAGATTCCGTTGACATCGACCAAGGCATCGTGCTCAATTGGTTAATGAAACTAGATGCAGGAAAATCAATGGGTACTGAAAATCTTCATCCAAGGCTCCTCAAGGAGCTATCAGATCACATGGCCGACCTATTGACCACGACCATCAAGCTATCTCTCTGAAATGGAGTGTTACCGCGTGATTGGAAAGACGCCATAGTAACCCCAATCCACAAAGGGGGATCAGGATAAAGCCCTTCAAATTACAGGCCTATTAGTCTCACCAGCACTTTAATCAAGACACTGGAAAGAATCATCAAGAAAAGTATCATGGCATATCTGGAAATCAACAATTTGTTATCCAGAGCACAGCATGACTTCCGACGAGACCTCTCATGCCTGTCAAATCTCCTCACTGCAAGAGAAGCCTTCGATAAAGTTCCTCACAAAAGACTACTCATGAAGTTGGAAAGTCTTGGTATCAAGAGCAGGTTACTAAACTGGCTTAGGAAATTCTTCATAGATAGGAGGCAAAGGATTAGGATCAACTCGAAACTCTCATCCTGTACAGCAGTGCAAAGCGGAGTGTCACAAGCCACGGTACTCGGACCTCTCCTATTTATTTTGCATATCAATGAGTTATCTATGCTCATCGATTCCCCTATGGTCCTAAAAGCAGATAACTTAAAAATTTAGGGAGTTGGGGCGCAATAGTGATGCGCTCACCTTTCAAGAGGACCTCAGCAAATTGTCAGAGTTTTCAAGGGAATGGATGCTCCCGACCAATGTAGCAAAATGTGCAACCATGCTCATCGGACAAGCAAGTTTCAGCTCCTACGAACTAGAGGGAATAACACTCCCATCAGTTCGGACTCATTTGGATTTAGGTATCATAGTTAGTCACGATTCAAAAACTGCAGCACACTATCGCACGGTGGCTGCATGTAGTTTCAGATCCTTATGGGCAATTCTCAGAGCCTTTACTAGGATCACCAGAGAAATGTTTACCTCCTTAGCACATCTCTGGTGTGGTCAAGATTAGAAAACTGTATCTAGGCAGCCAGTCCTCGTCTTAAATTGGACTAACACATTCTAGAAAGAGTTCGAAGGAAGGCAACACATATGGTTCTCGGTATAATTAACTTATCATACAAGGAATGACTAGACAGTTTAAATCTCTACTCCCTGTCATACCGTAGGCAGAGAGGAGATTTAATCACAATGTTTAAAATTTTAAATAATGACTACGGACCTGTTTTATTCTCTCTTTTCCTTCCCACCATATTGGAACACTTTAGAGGACATAGTTGCAGAGTTAAAAAGCCCACAAGGAATCATATTGCTGCTGAGTACTGGTTCTCTCACCGAGTCATAAACTCCCAGGAGAAGTGGTGTCTGCAACCTCAACTGATTCATCTAAGAAGTGTTTGGACTACCACAGAATCTACTAGACAAGGATTAACATAAGCTCCAAGCCTTCTATCCTCAACCAAGAAATCTGAAATCTATGCCGGAGGGTGCAGCATTTATACAAATTAGACTATTTGTGTAGATGACATTACTCTTCAACGAATCCATCTTGCTCATAATAGAGATATTTTGACACAGTCCGCCTAAAACACTAATCATTGCAACCAATATACTAAGGGTGTACTGCAGTCAGATCACATGACGCGGACACCAACACAGCTAGTCCAAAAAAAATGAGAATTCCTATCAATCCAGAAAACATCTAACACAATTTTTTAAAACCTATAGACAAAAAATTTACCAAATGAAATTTCAAGCAGCTTGACGAATAAGTCCAGCCAAAAATGGAAAGGGATTAAATTTTGTATGCCGCCAGGATGTTAGTTATAATACAAGGGGAGTCACATCACAATATTTATACTAATCTCTTTGTGTGTGTCAAAGCGAAATCATCAGGCAAATAGAAAGACGCTTGCTGCGATTATCGAACACTGCCCAAAACATCTGCCTGGTACTCGGTGAGTTAAACTGAACTATACTTATTAGGCTGTTACCACAATGTGATGTTGGATAAAATATACACACTTACGAATAAACCAGGTATTTTAAAAGCTCGGTATTTAACCGAAACTTCCACGAATAGAATAAAAAAGCTGCACCTGTGTACAAAAAAGGAGTCAGTAGTTAGTCTAGACCTACTTGGTTTTTAAGTGCCTACGTCTTTCCTTTCCTTGCCTCCTTTCTTCGCAATAGTTCTTAATTTAGCACCTACATGATTCATATCTTATTATGTGCGGTATGCCACGGATTTCTCTTCGGTACATTTGCAAGCCAAAAACTATAATTAAGTATTGACCGTTCGATTATTCCTCAGACACGTTAAGTGCTCATTATTCATCTATATATTGTTTGAGTATATGATAGATTTTCCTATTTATTTTATGAGACTTCTGCCTCACTAACTCCACTTTATAATATGAAATTTACTTTGATTAACTTTATTTATCCCTCAACGCACATCGTTGAAGGCGCTGGTCCCATAAGTAGGGGCCGGTGAACGGTGACAACATAACTCTTTTCTCTGTGTAAACCTTAGTGTCACCCTTATACGGAGGCTGCTATCATTGATAAAGTATTTCAACCAAAATCTATGTTCCTCTTTCCAGTTATATTTTGCTATGGCATAGTTGATACATAATTGCCTGTATTGTCTATTACACTGACCAAAGATAAGGAATCTTTATCTTACAACCAAGAAGCGGGCAGAAAGGGTATTGGATATTGAATCTTGTTTTAAATTTATGTAGGTAAGAGACTCTATAAAATACCCAGTTCGTAGGTCCCTTGGTGACCTTCAAAGTCTACCAGGTGCTTTGGCTTTAGACGCTGCTTAGGTGGGATGAAAAGCGTGCTGACTCGCCGTAGGCTGTCCTGTTCGTCGTCCGGCTCGGACCAAGATGCCTTCGCAAGTAAGTCAACCAGGTGTGGTTATTATTGTCTATTATGGTTCTTGCTTAATAATGAGCCGTCCTAGGAAATAACCTCAAGCTGTCGCACCTTTGCACAGTTCCAGTACCCGGGATTTTTGTCCATTATTATTTCAAAACGTTCAGAAACTGAATTCAAATATACAATATCGTTTTTACGAGCTAGTATAAACTAATTTGATTTCTTTGTGCTCGCTTCTTGATTGTGAGGTAAACTTGTGCGTAGCTCGTCCCGCCACTCGACTGTCGTAGCTTTGGTTGACTCCAAAAGGAGTAGTACTGGGATTAATTATATGTGTTTTGTAGTATGAGGTGTGTTAAGACTGTTACTACTGTGAATGGAGTTGATCCTTTCACCAGTCAGTCCTCCGGTATCGTCGTCAATGGAAAAGAGATAATAATAATAGATATAATTAGTGAAGTTATTCAGACTAACAGACAGAAAAAGAATAAGAAAACGTAACAACAGCCAGGTGATTAAATTTGAAGAATAATATGAATAATACAATATTTATATATATACATATATGTATATATATATATATATATATATCAGTAATAATGATAATAATAATAGGTGCAGCTAAAGTTGTCAGGAGAGTAAGACGGGAGAGATTGTAAAGAAGTAAAGTGGCGAACTTACTTGTCTACCCCTGAATGATGTATGGGATTTTAAGGGGGTAGGCCGTTTGGAAGCAGTCCTTGTGTCTGCATTATTGTCCAACCTTCACTTAAAGGCGTCCACAGAAGGTGCCATAGCTACATCTGCCGGGACGGCAAACCCACAGTGAAAAGAAATGGGAGCGCACCTGGGTCCTTACCCTCTGGTGAGCTATACTTCTGGGCTTTCCACGAGGGAGCCTATACCTACTCAATGGCAGAACACCTTTGTTTGGGTGATTCTGGTCATTTGTTAATTTGTAGGCAGTAATTAAATCCCCCATAAGCCGACGGTAGCTAATTGTGAATAGGCCTAATTTCTTTAGCCTTTCATCATATGGTTTGTTTTGGAGACCAACCACTCCTTTTGTTGCCCGTCTTTGGACTCTTTGCAAGAAGTTAGCGTCTCTTCTAAGCAGTGGGGGTTCAATAATATTATGCACTTCAAGGTGTGATCTGACGTATGTTTTGTACAACCTTTTAAAAGAGCTCAGGAGTTGGTGCGCCTAATTGTCTATGTGTAAGGTGTATGACCGCACATGCCCTCGCTACGTCCCCCGTGTAATTTACGCTTGTGTCCATTATTTCCGTTAGACCTAATTCGGGGTCCGACGTTGTGCAGGACAAGCTTTCATTGCACAGGTTGTAAATTGCATTCTGCAGTCTACAGGTGCGTAGCTTCACTACTTTGCACATTTCGTTTTGAAGTCTTGCTAATTTGTAGTTAATATGGTTGTTGCAGATTCTTAATAGCTTGCGATGTTGTGAAGAAATTAGTTTTTTTCGTAGTGAATTGATACATAATGAATTCCTGCAATTGTTCCACACTTTTATCCTTAGATGCAGTTATTAGAGTCGGTGAGGATTTCCAGGTCAACCTTCCTCCTATCAAAGACGAACCACCTTCAAATGATGCAGAAGCAATACATCGTGGAATACTTATGTGGCGTCCGATACCTGAAAGCCTTAACGACCGCTTAGAGAAATTCTTGGACACTGCTACTAAGGTCTTCAGGTAGGTGGTCATCTTCGCTTCACACAGCATAGCCAATTATTCAGCTATTTCCAAAAATTAGTAATTCGTGCTCTTTTTTAATTCTCCCACAAAGACCAGTCCACTTCATCCTAATACTTAGCCCTATAATCATTGTGTTCTACAATTGGTTTTTGTAGATGGTTTAGTCATCTACAGGCTTACTTTGCTTTGTTTCTTGCGTAATCAACATCGTTCGATGCACGCGGTGAATCAGGACACACGACGTAATTCATTCATGCCTGAAATTTTAGCATAGAACCTACCAGCATTTCAAATCGCTACATTGCATGCAACACACAAAAGAGGAAAAAAGCTATTCGAAAAACGACAATAAGCAGAAATGTGAGGAAGAAAAAAATAGTAACATGAGAAAACAATAGGGTTTATCGGATATGGGAGATCATAAAGAGTGAATGCATATGCGTCATCGAGAACGATTTTGAGCCATATCAGCGGTTGTCTCCAGCCACTGGTTCTCAGAATCTCGATGACCTCAATGAGGCAGTCTACTCCTCCCTATTTGGCTCGACTCAGCTGTCAATGATTCCATAGACTAATTTCAAGTTTTGGTTTGATCACCACTATCTCTTTTCTGACTCGATCCATCCTATTTCAGCTAACATCGCCCGTCGAGGAAGGCATGCGTAGCACATCTCCTGGCCATCTCAGTCTATGTAGCTTCACAACCTCATGGACTGACTTTCCCTCCTTACCTAAGACTTGACGCCTTAACTCAATATTGCTCATCTTATTATGCCACCTAACACGAGAGATATGACGCAGACACCTATGGTCAAAGACTATATCATCCGCAGTCTAAGTCAAGGAGTCTATGTCCTGGTAGTAGGTCAGTCCCTGAGTCACTGAAGTAAGCATCAATTCCATTGGTACATCTTTGGTGAAATTAAAGAGAAATGGTGACAGTAGGCTTCCCCGATGGACACCACTGGTCGCCATCACTTCAGGTGACAACTCCATAAACTGTTACACGGCTGCGTGAGTTCGATTAGAGTGCATTGATCAATGCGATGTACTCTGTCGGCATTCCCTTTACTGCCGAACATGGCCATAGTACCTCTCGGTTGAAGAAGTTCAAATCTTTCTTCATGTCAAGAAATATAACAGTTGTTGAACGCCGATACGCCTATGGTCCCAAACCTGTTGAAGAGTAAATATGTGATCAATACACCTCCCTGGTCTAAAGCCTGTCTGGTTTTCTCGCGTCTGTTTCTCCCAAGCGCCACTTAGTCTAAGTATGACTACTGAGCTTGTAACTTTAGATGTCATATTAGTCAAGCTAATCCGCTTATAATTATCGCTGGAAGACTTGTCCCCCTTCTTAAATACTGGGGCAATCAATGACTTATACACCAGTCTAACGGGACTATCTCTGATTCCCAGACATTGCCTAATGCCTTAGTTAACACAGACAGCAGTTTGCCACCACCGTTTTTAAACACCTGAGTTACTCCATCAGGTTCTGCTGCTTTGCCTCGCTCCAGATTAGAGGCAGCCTTTGTAACCTCAATTACAGATGGAGGATCAATATCTACATCCCATTCAGGTAAATTTTGGATGTTGGGTAAGTTGAGCGTGGCTGTAGGGCAGTTGAATTGTTCATCGAAATGTCCCTTTCAACGTCCCAGTCGTCTATCCTGGGAGCTAATTATAGCGTCACTTTTCTCAGAGATTGTCTCACATCATTTTCCTTTTACCACATCTTTCCCTGGTCAGTCTAAATAGTTGTCTGGTGTTACCTATCGCCTATGCCTTCCCCATCTCTCGCTTTTGTCGTCCACCACTGTTAACGGTCGTTCTGAAGACTTCTTGTCAGTTTGCACCTGAACAGTTTTCTCTCATTATATTCAGAGCCCACTGGGATCAGTCTTCCCACGTCTCAGTTCGGATGAGGCAGCAGAAATCCATTGACATATTCTAACCTTCAGATCTAGGTTACCGACGGCCTTTACTGTTGTATCTACAACTGACTGGATATTATGTCAGGCTTCCTCAGGACGAGTCTTGCATTAGATCTGAGGTACGCGTTTAGCTATTTCTTTAAATAGGGACTCAGTGTCCTGATCAAGTTGAGGGTGTAACGGCTTCACTGCCGTCAGTTTTTTATGTCTGTCCATTCGTAAGCCTAATCGTGCACGGACCAGTGTCTACTCACGTGTTCCAAAGTAGCAGTCTTCTACCGACTTCTGCCAACGAAAGCTTATCTCTATTTGGCCTATATGAGTCTATTGCTGATTTGAAGATAGAGGTCACCAGGCTAGACAATGTCTCCCTTTGTGTTTGAATTTAGTGCTGAACAGGAGCAGACGACTACCTAAACAGAACTGTAGGAGACGATCACCGTTGTTGGCTCGGTGACAGGGGACTCCATAGGTGCCCCCAACCTACTTTTGATGGAACTCACGCTCTATTCCGTCCGAACTACGGTTGGTTGGGGCGTAGGCGGATTCGAAAAACATCGACGGGTATCTTTCCTAACAACGTATCCGTTCAGACGAACAGCGCACATACGATTATCCACCAGGATCCAATCTAGTAGGGATTTTTCTGCCTTATCACTGAATGCTATCCCTACACCTACGAGTCCTCGCGAACTAACCGAAGAACCTTGTGACACTCGTAAGGTGAATTTCGCAGATCCACCCTGTTGGCCAGTTGGGTTTTGGTGACTAACCACAATTGGGTCTTGTATATCTCCGTAACACAACACGCCACGACCTTAGGTGCCAGAGTTCTAGCCAGTGATGCTTGTTGTCCGGTTCGGCAAAGGAACCTAATGTTAAGTGCCCCAATACGAAGTTGGCAGCGTGGCCCTAAGGAAATATCGAGTGTGCTTTTCTAGCTCTTGTTGCTTTTATTAGGACCTGCCTGTGGAATAGTATTAACACTAGGAAGAAAGCAAGATGATGGTTACGTAGATAAAGATGAGTGGTAATCAGAAGAGCTTCGTGTTCTTTTGGAAGTGTGTGGGCGATTGTTGCTTCCCGGCTGCCCACACTGTGGAAGTTGATTTCTTTTTTAGGGTACCTGAAACAGAAGGAGAATTGGTTTTGCGTGACCTCAAAGCCCAGGTGATAATTGCCTGAAGCCAGTCACACGGCCTGTTTGAATGGATTATCGGAATTGTTTTCGTATTAAGAACTTACAGCCGGCTACGAACCGCCATAGGGTAAGTCGGCACGTACAATTTTCTGGGTCGACTTTCCCTAAGTCCCTTCTCCAGAGTGGAGAGGCAGTGTGGCTGGCGTGCTGGTTATCTGAGGGAAACACCTTACTGCCAATACATCTCTGTTCCCCAGCGGCACGACTTTGTCCACGGACCCCCAGCATAGTGTAAGTACCTTGCACTATGCCGACAGCTATTTTTATTCTGATCGCTATCCCTGTGACTTTTCTGGCATTGTAAGACCCCAAGTAGGAACATTATTTTCAGCCAATTTAGCTTGTTGGGTCATCGCGATATCCAAGCCCGTCCGCCACTTCAAGGTAGCAGCTACCGGTCATATCCACATCACTTCCACCGCATAAATTCTTATACCCATCCCCAACTTTACTCGCTGGCAGTCGCCAACAGTTGTGTACTTGCATAGTTTAAATTTCGTCGGCTTTCACCAGGTGTGTATAGTTTTCATGCAGTGGAATGGCCTACTTGTGTTCTGTTTGCTGTCATTGACGTGGATGGACCAAGTTATTAGGTATCAAGTGAGTGTCTCTTACATGCTCTAGGCAGAATATATATTTTCATTCAGTTGTTTAATATTCCTCGTATTTGTCTATTTTAAGGTATTGCTATGATCAAGTTGTATGTCATAACTAATCACAGAGTGGATCTCAAGCATCAACACATTGTCAGTCACAGTATTTAAAAATGTGTCATTTTCAAGACATACGTACGTAGATCGACTATATTATCTGCTTATTTTAATTTGTTTAGAGTATCTGTGACTGGAGTAATTGATGGAGGTCTAGGTGCGATACAGTAAGGTTGTTGTTATGATACGATTGAGTAGAATTGGTGTTATCACCCCATATTTGATAGGCTTGGTATGGAAGAGGTAAAAAACAGATAGATAAGTGAAGGTGCTTACTTAGTATTTTAGTAGTGATGTTAATGGGTCAAAAGACTACTGCTATCGTCGGTCGCTGTTTTTATCGTTAGCCAAATAAGTATTTGCAAATTCTTCAGTGACATACTTCTAAGTAATCGTATGATGATTTTTTGCTTTCCAAATACGTTCTACTTGCTTACAGTTTTGTTAGAAAAAACAACTAGTAATCAAAAAATTTTGCTAATGCACCACCACCTGCTTCGAGTAATTTTTTTATCCGTATAAATTGAGCTTTAATATTTCAATGTTATAAGATTTATTTATATTCTACTAATTTTGGTCCATTTCCCTCCATTATTTTTCAAGTTATGAAGAGGATCAGGCTCTTGCCCTACTCACATGGCACCAAATCGATTTTGATCGGGCTTGGGCTGATCTTGAAAATTTTAACCCTGTGAAAAAGAAATGGAAAGATTCCGAGAAACGAGTATTTTTCAAAGCTGTAGATCATTATAATAAGCAGTTTCATGAAATAAAAAGGCTTGTAAGTTTTTACTACTTTTTACAAATGTAGTCTATACATTTTGTGAAATACTTGATATAACCGTATGATAATGCCACAAGCCAAGCTCTGTAGAACCTTGGAAGTGGAAACACGAATGAAGCAAGACTACCGACCATCGCCCGCAATGTTGCTCATTGTTGTGGACTGGATCACACAACACAGTGGAGACGAGAAAAAGCTGGAACTCGTTGGGCCGACAGAAAAATTCTAGAAACCCTGTGCCTTCACCTGAAACTCAAACTAGATCACCAAATAGTTTCTAGAAGAGAAGAAGTGTTAGAAACATTTGGATACATCTCTCTGCATGTTTTTTAAACTTTGGAGCCTCTGTTAGCATAAGGTGGTCTTTACTGTCTAGCCGTTTCACCACTCTCTACCCAGTGCCCATTGACTGTAACACTTAGCTGCCAACCATTGGCTCCTCCATTTAAATCCCACTGTGTGCTTCAACCCTAGTGAACGTGGGTACGTATAAAGTATAGTTCAGAACTTTATAGATGAAATATCTGTACCATTTAACTCAGTCGCAAAAAGAGATGCAAATAATCGTCAGTTGGGTTCTAGCTATTATTTTTATTACTCCTTTGGTTTCCAACTGGAACATAGGGCTTCACAGCACATTTCCATTTAATCTTGTTCTCTGCAGTCTTTTCCGGCTGACTGCATGATTGTCAATAGGCACTCATCTCCTGTATATCACATTCGGACACCAAACTCGTTGTTTCCCGCTCAGGTAGGTCCGTTCGAGGGCTTGACGCGTGACATCACTCAACCATCTCAGCTTATCCAATCCATGTACATTTCCTTGACCATTGTTTATTGGTTTCATCTGCGTTGATCTATTCCCGGATAACTACCTAGACATCTGATAGTGTTCTTAGGTCTATCTCCCCGCAGCCTGTTATTATTCAGTTGCCAGTGTGGCATAGAACTGTCTTTTGTCTTCACGTGGTACATTGTACTCTTTGTTCTGTGCGTTGCACATTGAATTCAGCTTCTTCTGTTGTCCATCTTCGCATTGGTGCGCATTCCTTTTTCACCATTCCCCTCTGCGTGTCCGTAGAGAGCCATTCATCATCCGTCCTGCCTCTTCTTTCCTCCGAGAATGGCTGTAAACGTTTCCTTGAACATCACCTTCAGAGAGTTCCAATGTTCTTCCATGCAAATTTCCTCAGTGATGTTACATAATTTCTCCAAATTTGCCATGGTGGCTGAAGTGAAGTTGTCCCTTGTAGTTTCGTTGTTTAGTTTTTGAGTGTTGAACTGGCAGTGTGGTCTATCTCCGGTTGCTTTGATGGCTTTCACCTTGAACTTGAAGGTTCCTCGAACTAGACGATGGTCTGAGCCCATATTTGCTCCCCTTCTCAACTTTGTGTCCAGCAGGCTACGTTTCCACTTCTTTGAGATTGAGATGAAGTGTATCTGGTTTCTGGTGTGTCTGTCAGGTGAAATCCATGTCGCCTTTTGCATATCATATCTCCGTGCTTGTACACGCTGCCTGCGATCACCAAACCGTCGAAGGTGCAGGAGTCTGCGAAGAGTTGTCCATTATCGTTCATTTCTCCGAGAGCGCCTGGACCCATGATGAGTTCTCTTCCCATATTGTCTGCTCCCAGTTTGTCATTCACATCGCCTATAAAGATTTTGATGCAAGCACTTGGGATTTCGTCCATTACTGTTTTTAGTTGTCTATAGAAATCTTTCTTTTCTTGTGCATAGCGTTGGATAATTGTAACTTTCCTTTCTATTGAGTAGGACCTTGCTGTCATGATCCTGGATGATATTGGTTCCCACTGCATGAGTTGCTTGGATGATATTGGTTGGTGACTATATGATAGCCACTCCCTGAGTGTACTCTTGGTTTTTGTCTGTATGGGTGACCGGAGTAGATCATTGGAGAGTCCACACCCATTCCACCGGTTTTTGCACAGATTCTTAGCAATTTTATGTCGTCTTCTTATTGCTTTGGCAACGTGAGCAGCCTTCACAGTTCCGTACGTCGTACTAACATTCCACGTCCCGGTGCTTATATTCGCTTTCGTCGACAGAAGACAAATCGTTTGACTGGCTACCGGAAGACTTTCAGCAGCTATCAGACCACGTCATCCCGTCTCTCCGGTTCCAGAAGAGAATAAGTGTGTCTATTATATTTTTCTTGTTCTTTGAAGTTACTGTGTAGATTGAATTGATTTTCAGGGGTAGCGTCGCTAGCCACACGACAAACGTTCCCTCTTTTCTCAGCCTTAGGCCCGGCTGGAAAACTAGTTAGACATACTAGCCCCAGTTTTGCAAGTTTCGGAGTATAAAGCACATTATAACACTGCTAAGTGATTGCCATTATGTTGTGTCGACCTTTTTAATGAACACTTGGCAAATATGTAATCTGAAAGTATGTTTATTTATTATATGCATTATGTTATTTATTTATAAAAAAGTATATCACCAAACTGTTCAAGGACAGAACTTTATTGTGAATTTTAGACTACTTTATAAAAAATTAAGCACGCTCTTTCCTCGTATTGCATAACAAACAGACTGGTAGACTTAAGTGTGTCAGTAAACTCCAAGTGTTGCTAGCCTCACACCCAACCTTCTCTCTTTACCGAGGCTATTACCTTGCTAAGAGATGTCTAAGAGTACGTTGGCCGGTGATCGAACCCAGGGACCACACGCGTCGCGTTAACCAGTACTGTATCACCGAATCACTGATGCCACACATGTTCAGACTTATAAAACTATCTAGAGATCCAAAATGCGGTGGTGTGGTGCTGCATTGTGACCCACAGGTTGAGAGTGAAGTACGCAATTCATTCATTATGTGTCAGCGTCTGAAAACCTCTTTCTGAGGCTAATTAATTCCTTTTTGGCAATAACTAGTGGATGAAAATTATGGCTACAGTAGTAGACTATTTTAGTGTATTGTGACTACAATAATTACGAAGCGCATTTCTGCCTGCCGAGAAATTGATGAGAATAAACGTGTTATAATAACTGGGATTCAGTTTAGCCGCATCAAGTCAGGGGATTATTATGAAGCATACGATATGCTCCATATATCATGCAGTAAATAGTTCTCTATCACTGTGCCTTTTTTAATTTTTCTGACACAGTTTAGAATTTAGACTATATATGGTTTAAGCTTGTTTGAAAATTGGCAAGGGACCTATGATTAACCAAAGTGAGCAAATCACATTGTGATGGCGATAACCGAAAAATATCTAAAAAACTTTTTCTTAACCTGACTTGACCCATTTATTAGCTTTGTTTTTATCTTTTCTTAAAGTTGTGGAATAGACAATATGAGTGAGGAAGTATTCCTAAGATTATGACATTCAAATACGGTCGGTGAAGCAGAGTAGTCCGGGCTTGTTTCCTCACCACCACTAGGTTATCTTAGTAACGTGAACGTATTCCATTTATTTTCATCGTGTCAACTGAGTTTCACTGCTTGTTGTGCACAAAGGTGAATTATTGTTGTCATTATTGTTGGTCATTATTACCAAAGTAATTTCTCTTTGCTTCAGGTTAGACTGCGGGTTGATATCAGTTAGAGAACCATTAAAAACCATCAGAGAGTACTGGACAGCTGTTTCACCCCAGTTTGGAAGTCATCGGCAGTACACACCCACTGTGTTTCGAACCCAAGACCCACTCAACCACTGGGACCTGATTCAATGGCCAATGAATTCTAACTTCTACCAATTCATGATTTTGGTGGGGTCCATCCAGTCGGTAGTGAGGATGGAGTTCCCGCGGATGACATTGGTTGGTGGTCGTGCTAAAGTCACGAATTGATAGAAGTTATAATTCATGGGCCATTGAGTCGGGTCCCAGTGGTTGAGTGGTATACGAGTTTGTCTTGTAACCGGAAGGTCTTGGCCTTGGGTTCGAAACGCAGTGGGTGCGTACTGCCGATGACTTCCAAACTGGGATAAAACAGCTGTCCAGTTCTTCCTGATGGTTTTTAATGGTTCTCTAACTGATATCAATCCGTGATCTACCCTGAAACAAATAGAATCTCTACAAACCAGTTCTTGGTAACTCTTATTTTTTTTTCCTTTTACCACAGTTTCCCAATCGTTCAGTCAAGGAACTGATCCTTTTCTACTATTTATATAAAAAAATCAGACAAACCCTACAAGAGATGACTTTGTATGGAACAAAATGGTTTTGTCTTGTCGAATTAGGCTTTGTGAAACCATCTCCGTTTCTACCACCAAATGTTAAGTCAATTATTCCTGACGAGGTTAGTTTCAACTGTTGATTTATTGATTAGCTAATTTATGTTTTTGATTGATATCTCGTTTGGTTGGATGGAAAATTAAGTTATCCAGTGATAAACAAACACTTATCAGAGTGTGTGTGTGTGTGTGTGTGACAGAAATACTCATCTTGGGGTAGCTTGGTATCACTTGAAGTCAGCTGTAGACAAAGAGATATATGCTATTAAAAGCCTTCAGCGAAAGTTAACTAAAATGCCAGTAGATTTCTGAATAGCAGGCTTCAAAAATGACGAGAAGCAAAAATTGCTCAATAGCAAGCTAACAAAAGTTTTTGGAACAACCATGGACAATGGTTGGTGACAGAAACTAGGAAAAAAGTAGAAAACACATCAGTAGTATTCATCAATAACGTCGTCTAGTACTTATGTTTATCAAGGAAACCTATCTTTGAAAAGGTGTGATGATAGGTGAAACAAACTTTAAGAGAAGAGTGGAATTATGTAATTTCTCAGAAGAGACAATCAGAAGGTCGACTAGGATAATTTATTGACTTGTTCGACTGGCCTATAGCTGCATTAGTTGCCTACCATTTCACCGAAGCCTCAATGGGATGGCGATATGCCTCCGTTAACCGTAGTCAAGATAGCGAGCGGTGTATCAGAAACAACTTCACGCAAGGTAGAAGGGAGGTGTTTAAGGGTTGTGATGAAAGATTTTCGACTGGATTGACTGAGATACAAACTGTAATACCTCAACTTTATTCACTACGAAAAGGCCTTCGACAACATCATCCGTCAAGTAATTTGGAAACTACTTCAACACTACGGAGTATACTGTACTCTAAATCTTTGTTAACCTGTACAATGATGCCACATACCCAGTGATTCACAACGAAAAACTCAGCGAGGCCTTTAAAGTGAGGACAAGAGTAAAAAAAAGAGCAGCTTACCATCATTGTTGATATTTGGTGGACTGGACTGTGCGTCAGTCACACTGTGAGTTACGAAAACACAAATATGCTGGACGACCGGTAAGACGACTCTAGAGGATCTGAACTTTGTGCATAAGTTATGTCTAATGCCTCACAAACTCGCAAAATCTTCAAGCAAAGGAGCAGTGAAGACAAGACTTCCAGTGAACAAGAAGGTAGAAGTGATGAAGGTACCTAACCAACAACGAAAACAAGTACCAATCATTATTAACGGGAGAAATTTGAATGGAGTCTCCTCTTTAACTTGTTAGACAGCATCGTCTGAACTACAGGCGGGACAACTGAGAATATCTAAGATAGCATCGAAAAACCGAGATAGGCCCATGTTAGAGAGAAAAGAACAAGAAGTTCAACAAATACATCTTTTCGGAGATTTCACTCTCAAAAGCCGTACAATCGCATTTATCTATATAGGTTTACATAGATATAATTATTATTTAATTCCACATAGTAATGACGAAGAAGAGTAAAAGTGATAGTAGTTTCCAACTTGACATGAAGGTTTGAAGGTGTGGATACAGATTACAAGCGACTTAGAAGCAAGATTATGCAGGATAAGAAAGTTTTTAACGAATGTGAATGTGACGAGCATGGAAACGTAGAAAAAATAATGATATTTTATAACTGAAAATGAAAAGAATAAAGGGGATGAAGAAACGGGACCTAAGGGGACAAACCATACTAGATCCACGGTAAATGTAGAGGTTGGACTAATTTCCTTTGAACACAGCTGCGGTTTTTCGATACATATGGCTAGAGCTTCTGCAGTGCGAAGAAGTCGAAAAGACATTAACTTTGGTAGATTTTTGTTAACTTTGTAAATGACTCTGAATGATGAGTCAGTTGAGATGCGTGACAGGAATTGACGAGGTGTTCAATTATGGCGCTTCTGATTGAAACAGTGTCTTCTGTTTACTACCATGTTGGGTAGTGTTCTCCAACACGTTTTGATAGGACCCGCACATAATGACCTATGTATCCAGCTCCATACGAGCAGGTGAACCGATATATGCACATTGAAGTGGTTATATAACCTCGCTTAGTTAACTAGATCCCCTAGTTTTCTAGCCGGTTCCAAGCCCAGGTAGAGAGAGGATTGGGCATGAGCCTAGCAGCCACACACCACTAAATCTTTCAAGAGAAACTTCAATACACAGAAGTGGTCATAACTGAAGTCTGTCCTTCACGTTTCTTCGAAGCTGTGGGTGACTGGGGAATATCACTCTTAGAGTTACTGCAGGAAAGGTCTTCTTTAGGGAACTGGAGATTCTCTCCTCCCTTGAAGTTCAGATTCAAATACAGCGTTTTCTTTGACACTGAAGTGCATTCTTCCCTTTTTGGCTTTGGTTCCATGTTCTCCACCAAACATGCCGAGTATCCATTCCGAGTCAAGATATTTCTGAGAGATAGAAGCTCTTCTTCTAAGCAGTCATTGCTGCAAATTCTCCTAATATAGTAGGCCAGCGAGATGTTGAGAGCTTTTTTTCGACTGACAGGTATCCCAACCTTAGAAGTTTGTCAGTTAGCCATAATGGTTTTCTGTGGATAGATTCTTGTCAATTCGACGTTCAGAAATGGAATGTTTGATTCATTTTCAACCTCCATTTTGAATTTTATTGAAGGATAGCAATCGTTAAACTCCTGCAAGATACAGTTTAAATCAGAATCATTATGACAAACTGTGTAAGTGTCATCGACGTAGCTTTTGTACAACAGCGATTTGTCCATTGTTAGTTTTCAGATCCCATTTAACAAGCTGGCCATAAAACAGTCTGTCAAAAGTAGGCCAAGTGGGGGGTGGGTTGTAACCTGTGGCACTCCCATCTTTCTGTCTGTAGATATCGCCGTTATAGGTGAATTGTACATTAATTGTGCACCTCGGTAACAACTCTTTCAAATATGATGTTGCTAATTAGATGCTCAGATTTCTGTCCTCCACATATTTGCTAAGGAAACAAGTTGTTTCTGTGAGTGGCATTCTGGTAAATAAGAGATTCTACGTCCAGTGATAACATACGTTTACCACTTACACTCAAATCTTTTATGCATTCAATAGATTCAAACTATCTTGGAGAGAGTACTTACATAGTTATTGTCTCACAGACTCTAGCATTTCGGACAACCATTTGGCAATTGGATGGTATAGTGCGTCGGTGGCACAGTGGTAGAATACTCGCCAACTACGTGTGTGTTGCGGGGTTCGATCCGCGGCCGACTCACTCCTTTACCTCGCTAAGTCAATAACAAGACTGGTAAAGAGAAAAGATTGGGCATGAGGCTAGTAACCCCATCCCGTAAAAGTAAACACCACTGCTACCGAAACTGCAAGCCTCTAGCTGGAAACCCTATGTTTCACTGGGAATTTAAAGGAATAAAAAATTGGGTGGTATGGTGATCCCGACAAATTTTAGACATATACGTTCAGATTTGATGGTTTCATTCAATAAACATTTGTCATTAGCTTAATTGTGTGTTGAGAAATAAATGTCCCCATTACCAAATAAGTAGACTCCTGTTTTCCCTTTATCTCTTCGATTTCGGTGCTAATTATAGGTGGATATCACAGTAAAAGTAAAAAAAGCAAATTTAGCTCTTGGTTTTCAAGACTCAAGTGTGCTTGTATAAAATATGTATTTTATGTATTTTTCTAAAACTTCATATCATGTGTCCATTTAAGAAGCGCCTTAATTGTTCTTTTTTCAGAGAAATGACGACTGCTTCGATATGAGCGATCCATTTGATGTTAAAATGAAGCGACATTTGGATATGATGGTACGTGGAAAAGTTGAAGAGCCTGATGACTCAGATTGTGATACGGAAAACAGTGCCTTGAGCACTCAGTCAGACTCCGAGGCAGAAGTATATACACCATACTTATTAGCCGATTCGGAGAATGTAGAACAACAACAAAGTGGTGATGTGCGAAATAATTCAAGAAAAGATTTGATAAATCCTAGTCGTAATCGCCAGAGACCCTGTGGTAAAGGTCGGGGTTCAGCAGCCAATACAACTGTGTTATCTCAATCGTCTATAAATTTACCTACTGGTGATTTGATTTCACCCAATCGTTTGTCTGTACGTAGACATGGACGCTTCGAAGAGGAAATAGCTGCTGCCGCGGTGGCTGCTGCAACAGCTTCTTCTAGTACTCAGTCAAATGGAGCGAAGAAGGATGAAAGAAGTTATGCTTTTGGAGGTCCCATTAGACGTAGTTCTCGCAGAGGAATTCTGTCTAAAAGGGCGCCTTATGACTCCAGGTATTCTTATTTATTAGTGCTTGAATGAATTCATGTTTCACTCAGGACTTTTTTGGCACATCAACTTTGATTACTAAGATTTGTTGAAAATTAAACTATGGGAAACACTAAACTTTAGTTGTTTATTACTACCTACCTACCAAGGTAGGGTTGGTGTATCCAAAACCAAAGATACTATTTATGTCCATTTGAATGATTTGAACTTGTTCCCGCATGTTAAGGAAGTTAAAGACTTTTTTCCATCTGACTATTCAGATTATGAATTGCTTTTTTACTCAGGTATTGGAGTATGCATGCTAAAATTGATTAGCAATGTAAATGTTATGGACTTAATATTTCTTTGTAATCATAAAATCGTGTGCAACGTGACACAGAAGATTTGAAGCATGCAACAACAGTCACATGTTACTTCTACTAAACATATTATTATTATTATCACTACTGTTTCGCGTTCCTAGTGGAATATTGGGCTTAGAGCTTTGAAACTTCACTAGCAGTAGTATTATTTTTTTTACCGGGTGGGGTTTGCTAGCCTCGTCCCACGTTCCCTCTTTACTGAGTTTATTCCTTGCCAGGTGTTGTTCAAGACTACATTGACCGATGATCGAACCCAGGGTCCACACTCGTCGTTAACTCCAGTACATTCTATCACTGAACCACCTATGTACAAGTGTCTGGCGTCTGTTGACACGCCGGCTCCTTTCACTGACTCTTCGACGATGTCTAAGGATTGAAATGAAGTTAATTGGTGGATGGTGAGCAGCAGTGGAGTCCATGATGCGCATTCCGTCCTACTTGAGACTCGTCGACTGAGACTCGAACTCATTACCCTCCGTCTCAAACGCCGAAACGTAACCCACTTGGGCCACACTAAACAGTTAAACTGTATAAAATCAATAGTTGTCGAAGCATTTACTTCTTCCAGTAAGATTTTATTTCGTAAGCATCGCTACCTATTTCTTGGCAATATTTAATCAAAATTTAGGAGTAAAAAGAATATTTCTCTTGCGAAGGAATCAGTTTCTATTATTGGTGTAGCTTTGTAACGTTGGTTAAATGCCAAAATATCTTACATGAAAAATGACCACCCACGATTTATTCCAATGGCTACGGGCCTCCTCATCATTAGCATCTAGAACAGATAGTCCACTTTTACACCAAAATAGTTAATTTCATACAGTGTATTATCAAACTAGACGATGCTGCAAGCCCAAATTCTTGCTTCTGTATCCATGTTAAGTGATCACAGTTTTCTGACTCCTAGTAAAGCAGGTAAACTTACACCATCTGTGTCTCAGATGTGACATCCGGCTGTCGACCAAAGGATGTGTGTACTGCTCAGCAGTTTTCTCTGTCCTCCTTTATAAATGTGAGACATGGTCATTGAAAGTGCGTCGGTGGCACAGTGGTTAGGACTCTCGCCTACCATGCACATGGTCCGGGGTTCGATCCCCTGCTGACGCAGACCTGATATCTATGGTCGGCCTGCAGAATTTGGGCTACCGATATCACATGCTGAAAATTCCATACCTGTACCAAAAAATACGGTGTGGAATCAAGCTGCAATAAAAAATAAATAAAAGTGGGAGACATGAAAAGGTTAGCTGTCTTTGATAATAGGTGCCTGCGTTCTATCTCCCATGTTAAGGAGTATAATAAAATGTGCAATATTGAGGTTAGACGTCTAGTACTGGGTAATGAGGGGTAATCAATCGACGAGTTTGTGAAGTTACACTGATTGAGATGGTTAGGGCATGTATTACGCATGCATGTCTAGCCATCGCCTCCTTCGATGGGCAATGTTAGCTGACATAGGATGGATCAGGTTGGAAAAGAATTAGTAGTGGTCAAACGAAGACATGGCTTCATCAGTCAATGAAATTCACATTACTTAGTTTAAGCCACGTAGGGGAGTGTAGACTTCCTGGTTGGGAACCTCGGGATGGTAAGAACCAGTGGCTGGAGACAATTGGTGAAATGGCTCAAAATCGTCGTTCTCGATAACGGCGCAGATGCGTTCACTCTTTGTGATTTATAATATCCAATAAAATTCTTTTGTTCTTTCACATTACTATTCTTTTCGTCTGATATTTGTGTTTACCATCTCTGTTTTGAATCTGTCTTTACTCTCTTGTGTTACTTGGTGTGCGACACGGTGGGAGTGTGGCAACTGGGACTGGTGCACATCTGTGCAAAGTTGTTCTATGTTGAAAGTAGCCAGTCAAAGCAGATCAAATCGAGTGGGGATGCTATTCATTGGCTTAGAGGTGTACAACTTTTAGTTAGTTAGACATTAGTTTAAGTTTCTACGTCTTACCAAGATTCGACAACCACATAACTCCATTTCTTGTCAAAATTGCTTACTTTTGAGACTTCTTTTTCAGTTAAGCAACGGATTAATCAAAGTGATTATTTACTGGTTATAAATTTTAGTGTAGTAGGATTCATATGCCTTGTCTTTTTACTTGTGATGAATTTCTAAAAGGGGAAGTTCTATTGTTGTTCACTTTTCCTTCATGCATCAATTTCTCATTTTCTCATACAGTAGCTTCTTTTCTTTAAAAAAAAAATACTTTACAGAACGAGACTACCTCCTGGAGTCTATTATTCACATAAGGAATTTCTGCGAATGTGTAATTCTACTCCAGAAGAGTACATTAAAGACAAGTACGAATCGATTGCTACATTAATTGATTTATCCAATCCATTGGACGAGCAAATCAAGGAAGTAAGTGAAATGAGATCGTCATTTCTTACTCTTTTTAATGTTTCAAATATCTTCGTCAGACGGGGACGACAGTTAAACCTCTTGCGGATTGTTGAATTTTGAACTGAGACTGACTGGTATCTTCTTCTTCTAGAAGTCAGTCATCAGTGTTTGCGAAAATAAACTCTAAACTTTATAATCCCTACCTGGATTGATTCACCATGTATATGTGCGTATATATACGCTGTTTGAGCATTTGGGGTCATGGCATTCTATCAAGCGAGCGAAACGCCACTTAAATCGTTTAGCTAGCAAGCTAATACTGTTTGGTGTGGTTAGTTTCCACTGTCCCATTCATCAATCACACTAGTATATAAGATCAGAGTATTTCTTTTGTGACATGCTGTTCACCTCTGTCAAAAACGTATGATCGATCCCTGTTTTAAGGATGGGGAGTAGGGTGGTTGATCATTTGATGAATCGTTTGAAGATCTGTATTCAACCTTAATTGTAACGACTAACGAAGTCTCAGCACGGGGATATACATAAGGCTAACTTGTCATCTATATCATCTTTGGTGCCAAACTGTGCACTATATGCACTAGTTTGCTCCTTCCTTCCTTACGACTGCGAAACTTGGACCTTGAAGGTGGAAGGTAAGGTGTAAAAAGAGTAGTAGTAGTTATCTTTGATCAAAGATGTTTGTGTTTATTTTCTTGTTTTGCATAATAGAAGCAATATGGTCGGTAATAATATTAAGGTGTCAGATGTAGTTTTAGTGGATAAGGTAATAAATAAATCAATGAGATTGTAAAGTTTCATTGTTTACGATGACTAAGTGGCGTTTTATGCATTCTGAGTCTTGCTTCGGAAACCGCTCACACAGGCGCATGGATGTGTTGTACCCAATCCTAGCTGACGGACTGAGATTTCAAAGTAGGTTTTTGTATAAATTTGCAGCAGTTCAAGTTATCACACTCCCTAGTGTAGGAAAGTGGAGAAAAAATCCAAGGGATCTATAATGAATGCAGATGTACAGGAGAAGGAATAAGTATATGGTGTGAATAACAAGGACTTGATGGATCTAGGAGTGAAGAGTGAGTGAATGTATCTGAGCCGTTGAAAGCGATTTTGAACCATGCAACCAGTAATTTTATGGTGCCTAGTTGTCAGCATCACAAGGACCCTAACCACCGTCTTTCTTGGCTCCAAGAAAAACGGTCAAATACTCCCAATCCTCTTTACTGTCCAAATGTTCACCATTCTTGATGTAATTATTCTCCACTCAACATATCTTCATCTATTTTATTTCCATTACATTTCTCTTTCTTTTTACTTTTGTGTAATTCGTTTTTTGAAGTGAAATTAACTTAAACGTTTGCGCTGTTATTTTGCGCACTGAATTCATCAACCAGTCACTAGGATTTAATCGATTTAGTTAGATACCCAGATTAGTTCATCACTTAGCACCTTGCAATGTTTTATTTGCCGTAACCACATATTTCTCCACAATCATCAGTTATCACCGTACCACCAGTGAAGTGAAATACCTTATCCAGCCAGCATCTCATGCTTCTATACGAAATATTGGCATTATCACATTTGGTTTGGACACACAATCATATTTAGTCACTTTGTTTTCTTAAATTTAAATTTTTTACGCTTCTCTAGATTGATATCGTTTTTTTTTTAAAATATCGATGTCACTTCATCTTTGTTGGTTTATTATTATTAATTATTACTATTAATTATTATTATTGTTATTATTTTGTCATTATTTATAGTTTCTTGTTTTCATGTTGTTTATTTAAAGCATGCTGAAAAGGAAAAGGAAGTACTTGACGGCATTTCAGCTTTCAAACCTCCTGAATTGCCAATAGTAAGTTAACCTATTGATAATTGCTGTACATTTGTTTCACCATCATCATGATATCTACGTTTAATGCTCTTAAGAATCATACATAATATTGTACACAGATCCGCCAACTGAGATTTGAACAGACAGGTCTTGTTATCTTATTCATCCACATGGATATGTAGCTGATACGAAGCTTTACACGGTGGCCTACATTGTGAAAATGCAACTTGATTTCCACCTTTGTTAATTGTGACAACTTAAACTATTGCACTTTTGTATGGATTTCCACGTTGAACCCTGTCGGTTGGCTTTTTATCTCCGTTTCGTCGTCAGCATATATGTGCGCGGAGCAGAGTGCGGTTTCAGAAGAAGCAGTAGGTAGTACTCGTTTACTGCCTTTCTTCACTGATAGATTATGGCAACGTTATCCGTTCGAGTCCATCGTTGGTTCAGTGGGGTTGGGTTGGGGGTCCCTAGGTTAGACAATGTTATTCCCGATGTTTGAAATTAGCACTGGCCAAGAAGAAATGATTATATAGAGAGGAGTGTTCAAGATTATCAACGCTGTCACTTCATCAGTATGGAACTGTGTATAGTTGCCATCATTGTATACTTTTTCGACTGGCGCGCAATTCCCGTACTTATGCACTGATTGTTGAATAATCATCCTTGTCGTAAGTCCAACCGAATCTGGTGTGATACAATAGTGTCGATAGTCCAACAGCTTCTTATAGATAAGATATAAGTATCATTCAATTTTATGTATTATGGTATTTTCGTCTTCTGTAATTTCCACTAATGCTTTCATCCCCTTTACTACTATTTTTTTTTAGCTTAGAGGATTCATTTTTCAGTATATAAGCATTTCATATTTATGTATTTACCATTTATATGTCCTTGTAGGATCCCAATTGGAGCCCCGTGGATATTAAAATGCTCTCATACTACGTCCTCGAACTGGGCCTCGATTATGAGGCGCTCGCTGAGCATTTGCTCAATAAAACGCCAAGTATGGTGGCGTCATTTGTAGAAATCTATGGGCAACAACTGAATCTTTATAAGTTAGCAGCACTGAACACATTACAATTCCACTAAAGAGTTTTTTACTACTAACATTATTACTATTACTATTAGTAATAGTAGCAAAGCTGTTGCTTTTGCTATTAATAATAGTAGTAGTAATTCAGAGCTGAATATTTTTAAATATTTCTTGTACAACTTAGTTACTCTTGAGGTATCTTTCTTTTGTGTATATCACCCATCCCCAGCCGCTATTGTGATCGTGATTCCACCAGAACAGTAAAAAAAATTTAAAGATTTTTTTATTTATCTCTTCAAATGTTTTAGTGTGTTATCGTTTTAATGCATTTACACCACACGGTGAGATTATATATTATTTTATTGCTGTGACATGTGTTTTCACTCATGTATATGTAATCTTCACAGAGGGTTCGATCTCCCCTCTGGAAGTAACTGACTTCGCTTCTGATAGATGCATTGGCCGTGGTGGATTGCAGTCTGACTAGATTTTTGTCCTACTTCATAGTTGTGAAATATTAGCAGGAATCGCACACCCACAAGGACTGTACACTTTTTCCTTCACAGTCAGTCGCCCTCGGGAGAAATTGGCGTCATTTCGTGGTAACAGAGCATATGTCTCATGTCTGTTTAGTTCAGAAATAGGTGTAGCGACATCCTGGGGACGTGTCGTTCGAACCTGGACAGATTTTTGGCGGGCATGTGCTGATTGCGGACAGCGTCTGTGGTGACTTGTCAAGGATCTCCGTAGTATGAGTGTCGTTATATGTGTTGCTGACTAAAACCGTCTTTGTGTTCAACAGTTTTGCAATCTTGGCATTTGTGTTGCTTATCCGGACAAGATTTTTCGAAGTGCCGGCAAGCACCCCAATGCCAGTAGGGTGATGAAGATTTCATCTATTGGGCGTCGGTAACTAATGTGTGATGAATAACTAAGGTGATGAACTTTCGAGGTACGACCACGAGGTGTGTAGGCAAAGGTTTTAAGAGGTCTGGCGAACTGTACTGATTTTAGGACCACCCTGGCGTGTAGATTGGGATAAACTAGTTCTAGAAATTTGTGCAACTTTGAAGAACCCAACATCCCTCTCGTCAAAGTTATATTTAACAAAAGGAACGTTTAGCTGAATAAGAATGCTGGTGAAAAATGCAGTAATCACGCTAGGCCACTTCATCACCGTATACTACAGCTGATTTCCCTACCCGCTCTACTTAATGGAGAACACAACGAAGTGTGACGAAAAGTCTAAGCATATTTACAAAAAGAAGCAAACCTGTAACACATGTGGAGGCAATAAATCGTACGACTAAGTGGTGGTTTTCAGCTCTGCGAATGGATTCATATTTTCCTCTTACGTACTCCGCCACATCTTTTTAGTTTCATCTCGTGGAATCCCAAAAATTTCGATTTTTACATGTGTTTTATACTGATTTCTTAAGATTTAGCGAGCGGATCATTATGCAATCACTATAGACCCTATGGTGGTACGATTTGCCATATAAAGATAAGAGACGATATAATTATTGAAGGGCTTGTCGAATTTAGTACGATGTTCTTCAGAGTTGCATATTACTTGGCTCAACCACCACAGTAAGTAATATAGCTATTATTCAAATACACTGAATTTCACTTATGACGGTTACTTTGTGAGTGGGATGCTTTCATCTCCCAGTTACGCATAAGTCTCACGAATAAAACAGCCCAACAGAATAAGAGCAATGACATCTTTACTCAGTTCACCAAAAAAGTACTCAATGAATGAAAAATTGGGAAAACTAAATAGATGTTTCGTCTTGGCCAGGAGTTGTGGCTCTTCACTTCAAGCACTCGTATCTCAGACCCTGCGCCACATAGGGATTCAAGCTGTGCAGTTACGGTGGTGGTAATCTTCGACGTGAGTTCAGTAGCTTTAGACAATCTCCTGGCCTTATACTGGCTAAGTGGGATTTAGGAGTGCCCTAGCCGGGGATCGAACCCGGACTACGCGAGTATCCACCAACGCACACAAGTGTAGCTTAGAACTTGGTCCTGAGCTTTAGTTCGACGGGCTGAAAGCATGATGAAAGGTAAAGGCTAATTAAACACGAATTGATGAAAGGTCTTATTGTCAACAATGAGCATTGGAAAAAATGTGCCAACTACCTAAGATGATTATATGACCTATTGGAACACGATACGGAAATCTGCTGCACCCATCATAAGCATCAAGTTCCAAATTCTCTGTACTAATGTTAAGTCAGTGATTCTCTATGGTTTAGAAACCTGGTGCTTGATGTTCCAAACAGGCTTCAGACTTCCACCAACTGCTGTCTTTGCTCGATAATGAAGATTAGTTCGTCGGCGGGAAGCGTAAGCAGCAAGAGAGTCTGGCAACGGTAAATCTCTCGCAGTGAGTTAGCCTCATTCTCTTGAGTGACATTCAGTATTGCTGCGTTTGCACGGGCACCTATAGAGCATATCGGTGGCCATTGCTACGCTTCTTCCTCTCGATGGGATTTTGTGGGTATAGCAGCTATAGCTTCCGCAATATCTCATTCGGCCCAGCAACTATGCTGGCAGCATAATACGTCTCAAAAACGTATGGAAAGTCTAACTTCAGGTAGAATAACTCATGTCAAAGATTTATCTGCAAACCTTTCGGTCAATTAGACAGAAGAGTGCGAAAATTCACTCAGCAACGCTCGTTGGTGTGTGCAGGTAGGTGACCACTGAAAGCAGAACACTTGGAACGACTACATTTTTCTAACTGCGGGTTCTTTCGTTCAATTTCTCCTGTTAAGTAGAGCAGCAAAATAAATAATATTGAGGTGGTTGGTACATCTGTTACGCACACTAAAACACTTATCGAGATATTTGTTTCTTGAAATATACTGAGTCCGGAAAGGATTTAGGCATAGTCATACTAAAAAGCAGTGTCAGTAGACGGAGTCATTGACTTTTGTCTTAGCCATATAGGGAAGTATAGGTTGTGCAGCTAAAGCAAATATAACAGTTGTTGCGGCTCAATGCAGTGATTATGTGAAAAGATTGTTAATTAATCGCAGTCATTCTCGAGTTGAATAAGCTGCATTGTATGACATTAACAATATTCAATGCGTTACAATCCAAGTGCAACAGGCAGCCAGTACGTTCATATTTTCATCTCTAAATCAGTTACGAAAGTTTATCAGGCAGAGTTGTATAACTGTTGCGTTCATAATAGTCTTAATTCTTATTTAACAGTTAATCTTTCTCTCTGTCTGTACATAAGTATATCAAGGTCTACACCTCGCAATATTCCATTCTGAAGTGTCACTAGGGTCCAGCGCATGTATCAAAACTTTTACAGTCTGAATAACTGACAGATATGAGCACTGAGTTCTCATCGGGTCTCTCTCGTGACCCTTTAGGTGCAGATGTAGCGAGCAGTCCTTGTTTACAGCTTCCCAACACTGTTCGGCTAAATGAATACCGCTATTACGGAGAAGGACACATGCCATCGTCAATTCGCCGTGTCGTTCTGTGCACCCCCCCCCCATACGTAGTAGTTAAGGTGATGTAATGGAAAACCGTACTATTATCACTTATGTTTCCAGGGAATTCAACAGATGATTGCCCATCCTTTCAGAGCATTTACCTTAATAACAACCACGAATTTGACATTTATCAAATGGAGTTGATAACAGCGATAACGAGAAAGATTTTGGCCCCAGTTGATTACCTTTCCCTCCTTATCTTACATTCCAGAGAATTTTTTACATAATTCCTTGTTTCATACAGACAGATTCGCCTTCACGCGAATTAATTAAGGCCTAGAAAGCATAGTACAAAATCACTTACAAGATATAGGGTTTTCTGAACACTGAGTGAGTGAGATTCTAAGAATTTTAGGGATGTATGTTGGATGTTCTGTGAAACAGCTAGCCTAGATTTCACCAGACTAATCCATTTACATTTATGTTTGATGTCACACAAAATCGAAGACTTACAAGCGAAAACCGACAAACTGGTCGGAGAAGCAGCAAAGAAAGGACTGCAGGTGAACATAGACAAGACGGAGGTTATGAAAATAACCAACAGCAGCAACATCCAGCGAGAATCACCATCAACGGGAGGGATTTAAAAGAGGTTACTTCTTTCACTTATCTAGGGAGCATTGTCTCAACTACAGGAGGAACGGACGAGGATGTCAAATCGAGAATCCGAAAGGCGAGAAACACATTCATCAACCTGAAACCAATCTGCAAATCTTCGTCACTCAGCATCATCAACAACAACAAAATTCGGATTTTCAATACAAACGTCAAGTAAGTCAGTTCTTCTATACAGATGGATCAGAAACTTGGCGGGTCATAAAGAATATTTCCAACAGCCTGTTGCAGACCTTTATCAACAAATGTCTTCGTTCTGTAGTGAAGATGAGATGGCCGGAAAGAATCACCGACAAGAAACTATGGGAAGAAACAAAACAAGAACCAATCGCCGAACAAATATGCAGGAGAAAGTGGAGATGGATTGGACACTCGCTGAGGAGGCCGGTGGGTGACATCGCGCGTCAGGTCAATGCTCGAGTGGAACCCGAAAGGGAAGCGGTGAGTGGGACGTCCAAGGGTGACATGGGAGAGATCGTGTGAAGAAGAGTTGAAACAGTATGGACTAACATGGACGCAGGTGAAAAGTACAGCAGAAAACAGAAGCAAGTGGAGACGTGTAGTTGAAGCCCTCTGTTCCACTAGGAACCCAAGAAACAATAATAATCATTTACAAGGTGGATGAATTATCCGATTGTTTGCTAAGTGACTAGTGTAGTGCACATCACTGTTTTCGTAGATTCTCTGGCATTCGATGGAACTATCACATGAATCATAAAAATAAAACGTGTAATTTATTCGAAAAATTCATATTTATA